ACTGATACTGCGATAGTATTATTTCAAAAAGAAAAAAAAACAAAAATTAAAAAAGAACTGGAAAATTTTTAGATGAAAAATTCTTTCACTTTGTATCAATTTAAATAGCAAAAAGAAAATATCAACTTTTCAGTGGAATAAGTTAATCTTTTACGATGAAAAATATATAAGAGTTCTTTGACTGTATAAAGTGTGAAGGTGAAATGGGAAATCAAATCTTTTTAATATGCTTAGAAAACAATTTTTTTTTGATAAATTTTGTTCAGTAATACGATTAACTGAAATATTGTTGTAGTTAAATTATACTTATAAATTTGTCTGAAAAAATTAGATTTTTATGTTCACCTAAGGTTTTTGTGCATTAAAAACAGTTTTAAGATAGACGGAAATTTATCACTGCTACTTTTTGATATTAACAACTAAAGTACTTTTTCAAGGAAACAACCAAACGCTGTAAACAGTGTCAGTTAACGATACAGTCGGTGGAAGATTTTCATCGTCACAGTCAACTGCATCGGCATCTGACCACCGATTGTATCCTATGCAATCAGCCATTGTCGGACGATCGAGACGTTACTTCACATGTTGACCATCATTTCTCCGGTATTTCCGGACAATTAATCCTTCCAGAAACTGGCACCGGTAATAGTGATTCGGAAAATGAATTTAGATGTTCAGTATGTTTACAGGTATAAATTTCAGCGTTATCAAATACATTATTAAGCTTTTCAGCTTGCTTGTTTATGAATTTTTTTAAAATTTTATAAGAAAAGAAAAACGAGGTGTTTGTTATGCTTTTCATCCAAAAATTTTCTTTTTTTGTCTATTAAAACTGTTAAAAATTTTATTGTTTTTAGGCATTCTCAAGAGCTGACTTCTTAAATGTTCATGTCTTTGACCATTATTGGGACGGATGTTGTCCTTATTGTTCGCTAAATTTGGCAAGTCCATCGTTACTGCAGATTCACATCAATGCAATGCATCCAAACGTGAAACCCAATTATGAGTGCAGTAAATGTCAAAAATCATTCTTTTTTGATTTCCAACAAAAGTATCATCGATGTTCTGCCGGAGAGTAAGTATAGCTAATTGTTTTGTTTAGTTGAGTTTGAAACTTAACAACTGACCCGATTTTTTGCTTCTCTATTTTTTTATTATTATTTTAAATAAGATATCTAATTTGCAGAAGTCATCAAATTTTACTGTCTTTCGCGTTGAACAAACA